CAGTTCTTTTGGCAAACAAACACCCATATCTATGTATTCAAAACCTGGAACTTTGCAGATCAAAATGTGGTTTGATTAGGAGCAAAGCAAACCACAAGGCAACTACGAAAGCCAGATCTGTTGATCTTTATGGATTTCATCTATCAATTCCACATCATGTCTTACCTCCACAGGCTCATCAGTGGCCACCTGCTTATTTAGTAGTTCACTATAGGCATCACATAGGCATGTTATTTTCACAAATCCAGTAAGACCATTTGGTAAGCTGATCACCAGATCAAATTGATTACTCTTTTTCACACATCCTAACAGCAGTGTTCCTTCTGTGAGAGACTGTTGAAGACAAGCAAACATTAATAAGCAACAATCACAAATATACTTTTGCATGGTTTTGCACACAAAGCTTCTGTTAATACAGGTAATATGAATTTAAGGAGATGCAACAAAGCACCCAGAAAAAATCCAGTTAGGTGGAAAGGAAACCAAATCCCTATTTCAAGATCAAAGATCTGTAACTTGTTGAGAGCTTATACTGAGCTTCAGAGTACAATCAAACTTTGGCTGGATTCAAACATCTGTCTTCTACCAACATGTGGTTTATTTGTGTCCTTAGCACCTTGTTCAAATCTAACTAACTGATATTCATTCAATATTATGCCATGTAAACAGGGCTTAGGAATTATTTTATCATGGTGACACATCATCTAATAGAATCAATTGGAATAGTCAGGTAGAATTGTAAATCATAGCACCATAGATAAATTACAGTACAAATTACCAACCAACCTCTGCTGACAAAAGTTCAAAATCTTTAGCACTGGTTTTTGAAACAGCTTTCTTTTCAAACTTAAGTTTTTTTGGCTCCTTTTGATCTTCATGTTTTTTCTTCCTTTTCCGAGTTACTTCTTCATGTTGAGTCTAAAATAGATTACATAAAAATACAAAAGTTGCTTCCACAATTCTAGAGGTTAGTAATTGGGAGTCACCCCGTTGTGGGTTGGATTCGGGATCTGAGGTGGAGGGGAGGGTGAGTAGGCGGCAGCCGAGAGCTGGGCCCAAAAAGAGGCCAAGCCTTGCCATGTTGCCCCTGAGGCAGCCCTTCAGCCGAATGGGCAGGTCCGAAGTGGGTCGCCCTCACACCGTATGCAGCTTTCCGCGTTTAATTTTTGGAGCTGCCCAGGCGAGGGCACCCTACTGGGCCTGGATCCAGGGCCCCGCTCCCCTGAGCGGCAATCCCTGCCACCACCATGCGAGCCAGCCAGCCTAGCCCGTGCCCACTGGGCATTCCTGGCCAGTCACCCGGGGCCTGCAAGCAAAGGAATGATTGCCCTCTGCCAGCTGGACCAAGCCTGGTCATGTTGTGGGAGTGCCTGGCCTCCCAGCCGCCCTGGGACAGCAACAGGAACACACTCCCCTCATCCCAAGGCAACCCTCAGTTCCCGCCGCTTTGGCTTGGAGCTGGAAGCCGTGGCCGGGATCACTCCTAGTTTTACTGTCCATCACAGCTAGGAATCTCAAATAAAGCTGAGAATGAACGCTTGTGTTGTAGCCAATCAGGGCGCCAGACAGGCAGGCGCAGGCCCCCTGCAAACTCTGTTGACTTCCGAGAAGCCCAGCCGAAGTTTTGCTTGCAGAGTCACCAGGACTCCTGACGACAGGATGGGGTCCTTTAGGCACTTAGCTTGGCCATACCAGCCCCTGCCTCCGCCTCAGTGAGTGGCGTTTGCAGGGGGCTGATCTAACAACTGCTTCTGGGACTCAGGGGACCCCCAAATGTGCCCATTCCGTTTAGCATCTGACATTGTCAGACTTTGACACTTGGACTACTTCTTTTTGAAGTGTTATATTTTTTTAGATAAAAATGCCCAGAATAGAAGCGGTGCCCTCGAAAGGTGTGAATGTTCTGGAAAGCTTCACTCACAACATTTTGGAAGATGCAGCTCTCATGTGAGGAGTTCCTTTTCCTGCCTCTTTTCCTCATTTGGGCTCCTAGAAATCCTTTCTTAGGGAGCACAGAGTCAGGTATTTCAATGCCCTGAAGGTCCTCGGCCTGCCTAGCCTTCACCTTCTCCCTTCACAGCAAAAGGAGCTTTTTCTCTGTGTGCACAGAGGCTGGGCATTTTTCTGCAAAGAGCTTTCTTACATATTCTCATTAGGGGTAGTCCTCGACTTATGCACAACTGAGGCATAATTTCCATTGCTAAGCAAGATTTAAGTGAGTTTTGCACCGTTTTATGATTTTCCTTGCCACCGTTAAGTGATGTTTACTAGTAGTAAATAGAGATTGTATCTTGTTGAGGTCTTCCAAGGCGAGCGGCCGGGAGGCGGGGCCAGGCATGAGTGATGTTGAGTTGGCCACACACACCCACTCACATGACCACCCAGCCATGCCTACCCAGCTGGTCATTAGGGCAGAAAACGGTTGTTAAATTATTTGAATCCCACCGCTGCATCAAGATCACAGGAAACGATAGGATCACTCTATATTATACTAGTGATTTCGAATACTGCATCCAGTTCTCGTCACCAAATTAAAAAAAAAAGATGCTGAGACCCTAGAAAGAGTGCAGAGAACAGCAACAAAAATGATAAGGGGTATGATGAACGTTAAGGGTTAAGTTATGCTTTAGTCCAGGGGTTCCCAACAGGAGGTGCGAGACGATATTCCAGAAGGTACAAAAAGTTGGGTTTAGAAGTTTCAAAATTATAGCGTATATGTATAACTATATGCATTTAATTATTTATTTTAAGGGGTGCAAGAATATATCAGAAGTGTTCTAGGGGCACGGGGTATAGAAAAGGTTGTGACCCTCTGCTTTAGCCTAAGAGAAGGCTTAGGGGAGACATGATGGCAATCTTCAATACTTGAAGAGCTGTAACAGGGAAGAGGGTATCGATTTCATCTTCACAGCACCTGAGGGTAGGACAAGAAGCAATGGGTGGAAGCTCATTAGAGGGGGATTCAATCTCGAAATAAAGAGAAACTTCCTGAAAGTGGCAACAATTAATCAATGGAAAAGCTTGCTTGATGGAGTTGCGGGTACTCATCATTGGAGGCTTTCAAAAAGAGACTGGGCAACCATTTGTCTGGGATGATATAAGGGGGCAGGGGATTGGACTAGACCTCCAAGATCCCTTCCAGCCCTATGATTCTAAGAAAGTCAAGGAATAAGGCAATTGATATCAGTCACCAAACTACTTGCCGGTATTTGGAGGAATCAACAGCCTGAGACAATAGAAGTTAAATGTTTCTAATTTGCATACCTTGAATAAATTATCATCTTTTTCTGTTGATTGTCTGACTGTTTTTTCTTCCTGTCCTTTCTTCTGTGTACCACCTCTTGGAAAAGTCTCCTCCATAGATGACATGGTTGTTTTTCTGTATAAAAGGAAACTAAACTATTAGAGTTTATATATCATCAGGATAAAATCATAGAACATAAGTATTATTTCATTTTAGGAATGAGATGACAGACATTAAATCATAAGTATATAAAATATTTGATTCATTTTATTAAAATATTACTGGTAGCTCTTTAGCCATTCTAACAGTGTCAAAAATTGGAACCATCCAAATATATATATGATCCCCATGTCATCTTCTGGGTAAGTTAAGCGGGTAATGATGGGAAGTTCAAAACAACCAAAAGACATGAGATAAGGGAAGGCCAATGCATTATGGGATACTGATAATCAAGATTCATTCTTTATCAATAACTAAATCCTGGGCCAGAGGGACCGTAGACATTTTAATTGACTACATTATACAAATATTCTAAAATTTTAGCAGTGGCTGACAATTTTCAGTTCTTTTTATCAGTGAGCTGTAGTTTCACAATGGCTAGTTGTCAAGATTGACAGATGATTTTTCTATGACTTATTAAACTAAAGCTTTTCAATTTGGGATGGAAACCGTTTCAACTGAATTCATAGTCAATTATTGAATTCATATTGTAAAAGTAGTTAAAATGAGCTTTACTTAAAAACAATATCCTGGAAATTCTGAAGAGTTAATCTAGATCCTGAAATTCCTTGTACAGCATCACAGTGTCCCTATTACTATTATCTATAGAAACAATCCTTATAGTCAATTCAAATAAATATGAATTTGTAACAGAGAAGAAAGTAACAGTCTTTGCTATGTGTCTGCTTCAAAGAAATGTTAACCTCAGCTGGCCTCTCAAACATTTAATTAGCTATTTTTATATCTCACTATCAGCATAAAACTGCAATAAAAATAAATTAACGTTTACTTTGGTTTGTTATTATAGTTCTGAACGTTAAGTAACATTGTTATTATTTTCTTGTACAGAACTTTTTCAATCCAAAGCAAACCCCACTAAGCATTGTCTCCATGATTTGTTAATTTGTTAAAAAATAAGTAAAAAACTGGGATGCTGTTTTCAGCATATTACAGAAAATATTGAGCAAACACAATGTCTGAAGCACTTGGCATCTAAAACAAGCATTCTGGAAAATGCTGTTATGCTTTCCAATTAAAAGGTATGATTGATTCACTGTTTGGAATGGTCTTTCAGGTACATATTTAGTCTTATTCGTGTATTTCAGCGGAGACTATAAATCCACTCCGCAACGCTTGTGGTTCACACAAGTTCAACACGTGGAACTCGCGTTGCTTTCTTCCTCCATTCCCAGTTCGGTAAACTTTCCCTCTTTACCTCCTGCTCCATTCCTTCTCCCCGCCACCTTCCTTCTTCCAAAGAACCCATCCTACATTCCTCAAACTTACTTTAACGTATCAATCTCACGCTTGAAGAAGAGACACCATTTGTTCCTTGACCCGGAATGGAAAACGATGCCGGAAAAAAAAAAAAAAGGTAGAAGGGAGTGAAGCCGATTACCAAGTAACCATAGAGCAACGGCACTGAGTTCCGTCACAGAAGGTAGGAACTAGTAATTTGACGAGCATATTCATCGGCCAATTAAAAAACCCGGTCTTGGCCACAGTTCCGGTTTGGATAAATAAAGTCCCTCCTCAGCTTATCGAAGATTGGTTAGGGAAGGTTGGTCAATTGAATGACTCCATTTTGTACGTGAAGGGCATTGAGTCGTTCATACCTAGAGCAGGAGGCGGCAGCGGATAGGAAACGCGGTGGGTGCCGCCTTGTCTTGTTATTGGTATTTGTGAATAATATTTCTCAGCATGCTTTGAAGTAAATTAAACTTTGCCTATTGCAATATATAAATAACTAGGGGTTGAATACCAATTTTGTTCTGCAATTATTTGAAAGATTATGCCTGCACGATTATGCACCAAGACAAATTCCTTGTATGGGCAATAAAAAACTCTATTCTATTCTATTTTACAAACGTGGCTATTTTTATAACATCCTTCTCAACCGGAGTCTTCCATTTGTTTTGAATCACAGCTTTTGTAATTACAATATCTGGCAAGGTGACAATCCAACAGTTTTGAAAGGCACCAGAAGGACTAAAAATGGTCAGTAGGATCATTTGCTGCCTGATAAATGGGACTATGTACTGGGGTATGCAGAGCTACCTTATTTCCCTCAACCAGCATCCTGGAATTGTATAGTGATTTTTTTGTTAAATTGAATTTATGTTTGAGCAGTGCTGCCTATCTATAGGAGGTGAACCGTCTCCTTTATATTTCATATTTTCTGTTCTTAAGTGGGTATAAATTCAGGTAGAAAAGGAATCTACCTGTGCTCATCTAGATAGAAAAGTAAAATACTTGGTAAGTGGTTTTCATATAATGGATTACTTTGCCTCAACTGTTGTACTGGATTGATTTATACTCCCCAGGCCTGTATTCCATCTCAAATACTAAAAGGATGGAATATACCTCCATACTTTTCTGTTCACTGTAATCAGGTACAGATGTGTTGAATGCTATGACATTTTGCCCCTTATCTGGGGAAATGAATTGTCATTCACTTCAAAGTTCATAATTGAGTACAATGTTAATTGATCCTTAAACGGTTAATAGGATGTTGCTTTCGCTTTTTCTGTTACTGGCTGTAAATTTGGTACTCTAAGAATACCTACAACATCCTCCTGTGCCAAAAACAGCACTATCCTACATCCCAGCCTAAGCAGAATACTCTCTTGTTACCTATTGTACATCGTAGCTCCGTTTCTTAGTTGCATGCAACTTTTTGTTTTACTGGATGTCTGGAAGTGTGGTTAGCCTAGGAAAATTTGAAGCTAGGCTAGGTATTTTGATTGTCATAGATTGCTTTTGAAGGTACTGGGAAACAGATTAGTCCATTGTGGAAACAAACACCAAAGAAGTTAAAATCTGTACACTGTCTTGTCTAGCACTAACAACTTGATAAAGGCTTCCAGTGGGAGGAAGAAATCATTGTTGAACTTCAACTGTAGAGGTGCCTGGAAGAAACATCTGGACACATTTCAGTCAGATTTTAGGTCACGGGTGTCAAACTTGATCACTACGTGATGTATTACAACATTTTTTTACCTTTACGGAGCCAGGGTGATTGTAGCCTGCGGGTGACACATCTAGTCCGCAGGCTGCCAGTTTGACACCCCTATTTTAAGTCACCATTCAGTTTAAGAGAGAGCATTCATTGCATTTATGTATAACTTCTGGTCCTTCTGGCCTTGCTTGATCTCACAGTTGCTTTCAATACCATCCATTATAGTATTCTTTTAAGTTCTCTTCAAGGGTTGAAGGAGGGGGGAGTGATCAAACTTAAAGCCTTAATTGGTAATAGGGATGGTGTAGGACTCTATTCTCTCCCCAATCCTATTCAACATTTAGGTGAAACAGCTGGTTAACATCCTTCATGGGTCATTAATAATGTAATTCTCAACTATGATCAAATAAATGATGCTGTCAAATTGCCAGGAGACTCTCCAAGACTGGATGGAGAGGAACAGATCCTAGCAAGACAGAATGGCATTGGGTTCCAAGATCTATCAATTTCAATGAGATTCCATTGTTAAATCTGAGCAGGTGGAATTGGTTTACAATTCAGACTTCTTGAACTCATAGCCCCTGCGCAAAGAACAGGTAGTATTTGTAACCAAGAGGGTCTTTGTACAGTTTCATCTTGTATTTCAGTTGCACTTTTTCTTGGAATGAAAGACATTACTGTTGCCTATGCCTTAATAACCTCTCAACTAGACTATTGGAATGAGCTTAGTATGGAATTTGGGGCCTGCAATGATTGGGTAGTGATTAGCATCTCTAGACGCACATGTAACACTTCTAATGGCCACATTGGCTATCTATTGGTTTCTGGGTGGAATTCAAAGCCACTCTGGCTTAGTCTGAGATTGAGGTTTAGTTTGTTGTCACCTTTAAAGTTTTCAATGTTTTGGGGCCTGTATCTATGGGGTAGCCTTCTCCCAATAACATCTATCCACTTGATAAGATTCAATAGGGCAGATCTTTTATGTGTTTCTTAATAACAAATTTATTACTTTAGGGACTCTACAGCATGTTTTCTCAGTGCTGCCCCACTCATGGGAATAGCATTGCCCCTGTGTGTGATAGGCCCCTTCCCACCTGGCTTTTAGAAAACTAATCAAGTTGGTTTATCAGCCAAAAGTGATAAAAGGCTCTCTTTGCTACTGGTGTCATTGCTATACTGCACAAGTGTTGGATCCAGGAGGGCCCCAATCTGCAAATCTCTGATCTTCGGGAGAGAATGCAACCTGTTCATAACTGGTATTTCTCCTAGAATCAGTAATACTTCTACCTGTCTTAGTTGTTCATTTATTTATATACCTGCTTCAGTCCTGGGCTAAATATCCATGGGGTCTTCTGTCAGACTACTTACTTGAGACAGAACTACAAGAAAGCAAGTATGGCTGCTTTGTAACTGTTAGTATGTTAATTGTTATTTGTTTACCAGTTACCAGTAATTTTGTTATGTATTAGAAGTTCATCAGATAAATATAACAAAATTGTTTTAAATTGAAATTAAGGTTAATTTCTATTGCATCTAGATCAAGCAATAATGGCAGGACACGATTCTGGAACACAACACCAATTTACAGGATTTAAGAAATACTTCAATAGCTACACAATAATAGGCAGAAGAAATGTAAGTATCTGCCATTATAATTTTACAGTATCCATTTGAAATTTTGGCTGATCTGACCTGTATGCATTCTGTCTTTAGTATGTGATCCTTACATATGGAAGCCTTCTAGTGCTCTTCCTTGGATATAAAATGAGGAAACCTAAGGAAATTTCACACAAATAAGTAAGTGTCATAATTTGGTAAATAAACAGTAACTTGGATCTAGTAACACTTTTTTCCTAATTTTCTCGTTACATAAAGATTTTATGAAGCTTGCTTAAGAAAAGGGTTTAATTACAGCTAGTTCTCATTGAGTGACCATAGTTGGAAGTGGCTACTTGGTTGCTAAGTGATGCAGTCACAACATAGAAAATCATATAACCACAATCAGCTTACAATGTTACTTTAGCTTTCTTTTGCTTTACAATATCAGAAGGATTTGACCTGAAACAATTGAGTGAGCCCAAAAGGTTTCCAGAATTTGTCTCTCAGGCAGTTTTACTCTCAGAGTAAAACAGCAAATCTTGAAATCCTTTGCCCCGGCCCCCCCACTTCTCCACCTTTTAGAATGCTCACCCCAGCATTGGGATAATTAGCAAGGGAATTAATGTTTGCATTTATATTTATTGGAGATGAAGGAATTTCAAGGAGTAAGGAGGCACACAATGGGGAATACATATTGAAAGTAATGAGCTGGCACCAGCTGTTTGCCTAGCAAGCTCCTGAGCTGCAAACAAAACCCAAAGGTGTGAAATTGATTCAAGTCTAGTCAGCTACAGGCAGTCAATTTCTGCTTGTTAGCTGAACTTGTTAATTTCTGCTTAGCCCTTTTTAATTACTTAGCACTTGGTTGGAGAAAAGCAGCTCAAAACAGCTCACTTGTTTAGCCTATCCTATGGGTCAGGCGCAGGGCAACATTTACTAATCAGCAAACATGTGACAAAGAGACACTGAGATCATAAAAGTGGGCTTTGATCACAAAGTTTATTTTTCCTCACTGTCATAACTTCAGATGATCACTGGCTGAGGCAGACACTAAGCAAGGTCTACCTGTTTTAGCTATTTTTAGTCAATGTACTAAAGCTTACCCTATTTTATTTTCAGTCTAATAATATATAATTCCATACTGTCAATTCTGTAATTCCTTACTTAATGAAGAACTTTTCTGTCACTTCTGATATACGTTAGTGAGCCTGTTTTTATTTCTATGTAGTGTCTATAGATAGTCTTTGTTTAGCGATTATAGTTGACATTGCAACTTGCTCACTAAGCACTATGGTCACTAAGCAGAAGATCAAATGGCTTCATTGAGTTTACAACCTTCCCATTTGGTTAAGTGAAGCCCTGCGGTTGCTAAGCAAAGCATTTTATGACCACAAGTTACAATTATATTTCCACACTCTCTCTTAACTTGCTTCTTGCAATGGTAATCACATGACTGGGATGTTGCAATGGTCATAAATGTGAGGGTTGATCACATAGCTTTTTTTTATAGTCATAACTTTGAATGGTGGTTAAACAAAGCAAGTTGATAAGCAAGGACTGCCTATACATCCGTTTCCTCATTTCATAAGGGAGAATTGAGTCTTAAATAAAAGTTACGCTAGATGATATGTTGACTGAAGTTTCTTTTTTTTCTTGGACAGGTTCTTATTGTTGGACCTTCCTTGTTGTATTGCTGTCTGTGAGTTGCAGAAGCAGATGCAGTTCAGTAAATCATGAAAAATGACTATATTTGCCTTTAGTATCAATCCATGAGTGAAAACTGTCCAAATTTCTGATGTGTATTATTAATTAAAGAGACCCTCTCTATCTATATTGCCCAAAACCATCTGCTCCAGAATAAATAAATTGACTCTTATTAACATGAAAGCAAGATCACATCTCTGCCCAAATAGTTCTGAGCACTGATTTATTTCACTGAAAAGTATTTTCACTATTCTGCCCTTCTAAACAAACAGAATATTCAAGGTAGGCACTATAAAATATATGGAAAGTAAGCTAAAATAGCACAATTAAAAAAAATAGAACAAAGAATTCTTTAGAACAGTTCATGAATGCCCAATTTAAAAAAAATAATTTAAGATTTTAGTCTGAAGATCTTAGTGTATGGACAAGTTTATAATAGAAAAAACAATTTATTAAATATAATTATAGGCCTTTTAGGGTTTAAAATGTTAAAATAACTGATTTTTTGCCTACAAAGTTTTGTGTACATCTGTACACATACATACACATATGATCTGTGTCATTCTCAATCCACCATACCCTGTGTGACTTTTCTACAAGTAAAGGGAGATATCAAAAACTAGGCAAATGTTAAAATAATATTCTGTAGTTTTTTTCGATAGTAATAAAAATGGGATTTGTACTACTGGGTTTGACCTCCAATGAACCATCCTATGTAATTTAAGTGTTAAATTTAAATAGATTGTCAAACAGAATAGCTTTAAAAAAGTGATACCAAAATAATCAAGTCTGTAAATCCCTATAGTAGGCAGCTCATTTAACCAACCTTGGCTGTCCTAAAAAGCTAAGCAGGTTCAGACTTGGTAAATACTAATATTTTTATCCTATCCTACCCATCCATCCATCCATTTGTCAAGGCAGTGAGAATGCCTAATACTACTGCGTCCTATTTTCCCAACAATCCTACAAAGTGAGTTGGATTGAGAAACTGGCCCAAAGTCATCACCAAGCCAGCTTTCAAGCCTAAAGGAAGCCTAGAACTTAAGTAAATTCTGGTTTCTAGGCCAACATCTTCATTTCTGCATCAACCTAGCTGTACTTGTATAAGAGACCATTAGGAAAGATCAGAGCTGTAGACTTGGCAATTGAAGAATATTCTGGAAGATGGAAATATAAACCATGTTTATATTATTAGTAAAACTACATGGAGAATCCATTAGATAAACTGAATTTGAAGGGTTTTTGTTAGAATACAAAGGAAATAGTGTTTTCCTACTACTTATTCCTGCATTCAGGCACTTTGAAAGTATATTGCACACAAGTACTACCCCAGACCCCTAGAGAACATATCTACTCTTTTATTGGGTACCATCAAACACAATTCAGTTTTATAATTTTTTAAAATGTTCAAAAATTGAAGTCTTGAAAATTTATGTGCACTGCCTCTTCCCTCTTAAATCATAATCCAGTGTTATATATGAATCAGACCTAATTCTAACTGTTCTCTGTTTGATTTTCTACATAAATATATTTTTAATTATTCTAACCATCTGGAACCTAGATGCAGGAATACAGTTGAAGAGAAAAAGTTAACTAGTCACAGCAAACATTCTTTAAAAGCATAAAGCTTCCCTAAAACAAATCTATACTAATAGAAGAGAATATTTGTAGTTCAGGGTTTAACTGCTGAGTCTTTGGTGCTGAGTTTGGTGGTTTTCTTGCAGATGTGACACACATTTTTGTTTCAGTCCAGCGCTAAGTGCATCATACAAACCCAGAAAAGTTAGCAAAGTTTTCCACAAATTACATTATCTGAGAATTCACTGTTCTCCTAATCGGAGAGAAACGGCAGTCAGGTATGGGAGGAGCTCCGTCTATGCAACATAGGAACGAGTCTGCAGATTTGAATAGCTCCGCCCTCTGCTGGTGTTCCCCATATGATCATGTGGTCACTGGCAAGGTTCCCTGCCAGCTTCCCATAAGATGTCAATGGGGAAGCCGGCAGGGAAGATTGCAAGTTGCTCCCACCACTTTTTCTCTCAAGGAGCCCTGCTACAGAATATGAAATACTAGGGTTCCCATACACTATAATGCACACTTGCATCACAGCAAACCCAGTCCGCAAGCAGTCATACCACTTCAACACCCTGTGCAATTCACTTCAGCACTTCCTCTTACCCCTTAGTGCTTGTCCAACTTGTTTGCAATCTGCCCAGGACTAGCAACTTCCGTATGATTTTCCCATTGATTTTGCTTGTGGGAAGCTGGCAAGTTGCACTCATATAATGTTCTAGCTCAGAGGTGTCATTCGCAGGCCGGATGTGTCACCCGCTGGCCACCCCCACCCCCCGGTTTAGCGAAGGGGAAAATCGCAATACATCATGTGACAACATGTGAGTTTGACATCCCTGTTCTAGCTTAATGACCCATGATTTTCATTTAATGGCAATAGGAACTGCCAGGATTGCTATCGTTAAAACAATGCAGCCATGTGTCATCATGCTTTAAAGACTGCATTGCTTAGCAACAGAAATTCTGATCCCAATTGTCATTAAGTGAGGAGTATATGAAGTCTGCCATTGTATTAAGATATCTACAGTAATTCAAGGTTGCTTCTCAAAGAACCATGTAAAGAGAACTCCATCAAATTTTTACGTATTTTTACAGAATTTTTATTATAAAGATACAAAACTATAAAATACAAAATCACAATTATTTTTTAAAAATGCATATACTGGATCCATGCTGCTTGATTTCAACACTCAATGTATAACTGATATATTTCAATGACGGCATAAGCCAACACTTATTATGGAAAACTTTAAGGCCAGCTATTTTTTTTCCGATTCATACTTGAATAATCATATTTCTGTGACAAGTTTTTACTTGTGTAGAACAATATTTAGAATTCTTAAGAGAAGCCAGTCTCTCTCTTAAAAGTCTTAAGAAACATTTATGAAATCAGTCTTCTGAAATACTATTTATTTTAGTAATTCCCAATACATATGTAGTTATATAATGTGATTTTTAAAGCTCTGGGGTAATTTAAATAATAATTCTGGTTTTCTTGCTACATAAATACAGCACACTGCTCTATACATTCTCCTCCAACCTTTTTGAACAGGTTTTACAGAAAAATATGCAGTTAAACCTATGCTAATGTTGGGAAAGATCTATTTGAAACCTTTGGAAAGGTCAAAGGACCATTGAGAAAGGGAAAAAAGATTGACTGGTACCCAAACTAGCTGTCTATTTACACTATTGTCACAGATGACACCAGTTAATTCCTTACGATTTCAGTAGAAAAAAGCTGTTTCTGTTTGAGGGGAGGGTGGTAGAGAAAAGCAGAAATGCCACTTTTTTTTCCTGTCCTGCTTTACTTAGTACTCTCGTACCAACAGAATTTCAGTTCATTTGTACAATATATTAATGGTAATATTCAGGAATGTGAAGATCTAAACATACTTTACAAGACTTGCATAATCAAGCCATCGACTTTTGCGTTTTACTGAGGACTATAAGCCCCAGCAGCAAGAAGTAAATTTCTTCGAGTAAAGTGGAGGTGTAAAACTGGAGTTGATTTGGTCATATATGTGCCCAGAAGCAAGTCCTGTGAACTTTCAGGAAGGTTTATGTGTCCAGTGGCTGTTGTAAAATCATCTGTCTCCAAGTCCTCAAAAGCTTTCACAGCATCCCAAAGTTTAACTGTATTGTCCATTGAACCTTGAAAATAAAATACATGAAGAATCTTAAAACCAGGCATTGCAATTATCAGTTCATGACATCCATGGATTCTCTAAATGCTGTAGTCAATTTGACAAACATAATTTACTATTTTCTGGAAAAACGAACATTTATCACAGTAAATGTAAAAACAAAATGTCTTGATTCAGAAAACAAGAGTACTGAATATCCCTGTTAATGTCTGGACCAGGAAAATTACATTGAAGGTTGATCTCCATTTGGATCTGAAGAATGAACATATCCAAACTCTCAAAATATTGCTATGGTGACTTCTATAATATACCTTCTACCAGGGGTGGGTTCCATTTACCTTTACTACCGGTTCACAACAGGATTGCGTGCCTTGCTTCAGATCACCAATGATGACATCTGGGGCGGTGGGCGGGGCCTCCCGCCAGTTTTACTACCGGTTCTTGCGAACCAGTCCAAACTGGGGGCAACCCACAACTGCCTTCTACCATTCCTAGTTACTTTTCCGGCCTTATTTGTCTCACACAGAAAAGCATTTATACCACAATGGGATTTAACACCTTATTCTCAAAGGTGTTGGAAGAGAGCTTCAGTAATGCCAGATATTTGAGGTATCTGGCCATGCTTGGATGAAGCTATCAATAACTGTTTCAGACATCTTTCTATGCCATCTTTTGACCCACACTTAGTACTAACATTTAACTTAATTTAATTTAATTTAACATTTGTTCTACCTGCCAAATATACTGGTAGTTTTATGTAAATGGAGCTTGTGCACTTTATATTCCTCACTTTTTAAATGTTTATTGTATTTTATCTGTGATTTTCTACAGTCTGGTCTTAGATTGTATATTCAACTAAAATAACGTGCTTAATATACTAGGAATTTATAAAGAATTCATATGAGCTGTCATTTGGAAGGTAACATCAATTTTTTAAAAATGGAAAATTGTTGAAGTTACGATAAATATTCAAGCAAACTTATTGTTCTAGTAATAGAAGTCTCCTCGTAGTTTTCTAAAAATTTAAATTTCTAAAAAAAATTATCATGTAAAACAATTTTATCTGCCCAGGATGTCATGGATGGATGGGACCATTTATAATACTAATGCAACTATTTCTGCAGTTATTTTTCATCTTTAGAAATGAGATGGAGCACAAAATAGAGAATGATGTATTATTGTAGTTCATAGCATTAGTTTTATAATAATTTAAAAATCGTACCTGAAGCTAATATTTCTCCATCTCTACTGAATTTGAGTGCATAAATTGTGTCTGAGTGCCCTTTTAATTCTCCTACCATTAAACCATGGCCAATATCCCACAGAAGCACTCTTCCATCAGTTGCTCCAGTTGCCAAGAATCGTCCATTAGGAGAAAATGCTAACGAATTAACTGGTCCCTAAGGGGTAA